AAACTAAAAAGCCTTCAAGATTCAAAGGAGTGGATTTCTAATCATAGAATCTTAGACATTGTGGCAAATGTTTCTGAGTGTTATCTAAACGTTGAAGGCTAATTAAAATTATACAGGCAGTCCTCAGGTTACTGATGACTCTGCTACAATGTTCTTTACTTACCAATGGGCTCCCAGGGGTCTCTAGATGGATAATTTATAATTAGATAATGAAATTTGTAATTAAGAACCTAGTTTCTTCAACATAGGGAAACAAATCTGCATGGCATGGTGGTTCCTTGGTGCGGTTTCTTTATGCTAGTCACTGGTCTCATTGTTTGCACAGTCGCTTACATAGCATCACTTTTGTCTTAACTTTTTTATTTGATTTTGTGAGTCTCTGTTTACCCTTATGACCAGGCCTCCAAAGTGAAAGTCCACTGCCAATCTAGGTGAGCCTGCAGTGAAGAGAAAGGTGATTGTAATGAAAATGAAAGTAGAAACAATTAAGCATTTGGAAAAAGGCCAGATGCCATTATTCATTGGAAAAGCTGTAGGCTTCAGTCGCTTGACTATTGGAACAATTATGAACAATAAAGTGAGGATAATGGAACATGTAAAAGGCAGTGCTCCAATGAAAGCATCAATTGTTACTAAGCAGTGTAGTGGATTAATTTTTTTTTTTTGAGACAGAGTCTCATGTTTTGCACTTGGTAGAGTGCTGTGATGTCACAGCTCACAGCAAACTCAAACTCTTGGGCTTAAGCGATTTTCTTGCCTCAGTCTCCCAAGTAGCTGAGACTACAGGCGCCTGCCACAATGCCTGGCTATTTTTTTTTTTTTTTTTTGGTTACTGTTGTAGTTGTCATTGTTGTTTGGCAGGCTAGGCTGGGTTTGAACCCACCGGCCCTGGTGTATATGGCTGGTACCCTAGCCACTGAGCTATAGGTGCCAAGCCTGTAGTGAATTAATTATTGAAATGGGAAGTTCATCATTGATTTGGTTAGAAGATCAACATAAGCATAATATTCCTATTAATCTAGGAATTAAAAAAAAGAAGCACAGTAGTTTCTGTAACTTACTATTACAGTATGGGGGTATTATTATGTTGGGACCAGAGACACCTCTGAGAGACCACACATGTAAAAGTGAAGGAGTGTCTTTATTCAAGCATATGCTCAGGCCGCAGGATTTGACAGTCAAGCTGCTAAATCTGCGACTCCGTTACAAGGGAAGTCTTGGTTTTTATATTATTCATTTGCAAAGCATCTTGGGTTGCAATAAAATGGTAGAGGAGATCATGGGGGGAGGAGCCTGCTCAGGGCTTCTGGTAGGCTGTATGGGGCCCAGGGATTTTGATAGGTGGAAGCCTCTTGCAGTTAAGGACTTTCCAAGAAGGGCTGTGTGCTGGTTCCTGCTAGGGGTCTCCGCCTAGGCTAGCTGCCTCCTCCCTGGGTGGTGCTGTTTGTGGTTTTTCCGGAAACTGGGTCTGGAGTTCAGAACAGAGCCCACCACAAAATGGAGTTACTGCTGCCTCTTCAATTATCACTACAGGATCTCACTGTATTATTATTATCACATATGAGCCATTGTAGTATTTATCATTATTATTACCATATAATTGCTGTTCATCAGGGATCCAAGTTGCATACAAACCCAACCTAACTCGTCTATAACCCAGAGATGGCCTATAGTTGCTATTAGAAAAAAATTAAAGCATGTAAAAATGGGTGAACAGTATTCATAGACTACCACTGATAAGTGGGATTACTGAATCCAAGGTCTTTGAACTTTGCATAGGGATTTTTTTTTGGAAGGGGAGTCTGCAGATGACTAGAAAGACAGAAAGCTAGGTTTCAACTTAGATGTGTGCATTTTACATGAGCTTCCTTTTAATAAAGGGTTAAGTGGCTTTAAAATGATGGCAAAACCAGTGACTTAGGCTCATGTTTGTTGGCCTCCCAAAAGCTCGGTGCTTTTTCCATTATTTTCCCCTTGAGAAAAGAGTTCCTTGAAATTAGAGGGCTCAGCTACGTGGTATGCTGAAGACTCAGAGTAGAGCTTGGTGATGGTGAGTAGGAGAAGAAAGAAAGGAACTAATGTTTATTAATTACTCATGTTAGGCAAGACACTGGGCTATGGACCCTTTCAATTTCACTGTTTTATTGACAGGACAAAGTAGCTGTTATCTTCCCCATTTTGTAGTTGAGGAAACTGAGGCTCAGAGGTTAAGTCCAACAAACTAGGTCACAGGATTTGCCATTTATAAAGCTTCCATCAAGTCCAGGCCTTTTGTCTGAAATAAAACTTAATCTTTACCTTAGAAATGAAAACAATGTAACCTAAACATTTGTACCCTTATATTAATCTGAAAACAAAACAGAACAAAACAAAAAACTAAATCCTTTCACCTTTAAATTCCATTGACTAGGGAGAAGCTTTAAGACAAGAGAAACAAAGCACATTACTCTGTGTCTGCTGCCAGCAGTCTGCCAGAAGCAGAGACCAAGAACCACTCAAAATTAATGTCCTTTCAGGTGGGTGAGGATTCTTTATTTGACTGTTCACTTGGCTTTTCCAGCATCAAGTCACAGTTTACCCTACTGTAGTATTCTTGTTTCCAGTTTTCATCCCCCCAAATGTGATAACGTGTCTACATACAATTCATGTGTGTTGTTTTCTTTCACTGTGCAACACCCAACTCACATTCCAACTGTTGGTCTGTGGCTTCCTCATTTCCCATCACAGCCTCTTCATTCCTGGAGAGCAGGTGACCCAGGAGGGAAGGAGGAAGAAGATGCTGAGTTTCAAGAAGAGGATCTGGATTCTGCCTCATGGCCTCTTGCAGCTATTACCATTTTCTTTCTGTCTCTTCTGGCTTTCAAGTCTTTCTTGCTGTTCCTGTAACGTTGACCTTGGTCATGTATCACTGAAACTTTAACTTCAGTGGGGTGTAAATAAAAATTCTTTTTCTTTTTTTGCAGTTTTTGGCTGGGGCTGGGTTTGAACCTGCCACCTCTGGCACATGGGGCCAGCGCCTTACTCCTTTGAGCCACAGGTGCCACCCCCCCTTTTTTAAATTGGTGGAACATTTTGGTGCTGTTATTGTTTTGATATATTTCCATAAAATGGTCAAGAAGAAAATGGTCATGTGACTAAACTTTACAATTGCTTATTTGTTTATAAGACAACATGTCTTGGAGAGTGGCACCCTAAACACACATTTGGAAGGAGGGACGTGGTAACACACAAACACACACACACACACACACACTCTCTCTCTCTTTCTCCATTTCTTTCTCATTTTAGACCAGGGACATTCCTATAAATTGTTTGTGGAAACTTGAGACTTCGGATGAGTTTTTGTTGAGGGGGTCTGAGATGTTTGAAGTATAGGTAGATATGAGTAGTTGAAGAGGAAATTACTATGATATAGTGGGACTAAAATGTAGCATTATTTGACTTTTTTTTTTTAACTAGAGCAATAAGATTCTTTTATCACAGAGTTCTGCTCTCTAGGAAGGGAGTAGAGGAAGCTTTTTGTATGGGATTTTTCACTGACTAGGATTTTTGGTAATCAGGTCCACAAAACATTGTCCATATCACCTACCTGGAAAACGCCTTCATGACGGAGTAAGTTCCTTCTGATCTTACCAAATTTTTTATAGGTTATTTTTGCTTTTTGGAGATATTATGCTATATTTGCTGAGAGAATTGTTTTCCTATAGTTTCTCTAATTTGGATATGGGGCTGGGGGCCATGGGAGTATACACATGGATATAAGTGATACATTAGATGTCAAGATGTTGAGGGTGTCACGGTACATCTAGGGATGTCAGACAGTGCTCACTGGCAAGTACCATGAATATTTACTGCCAGCTGATAAGAATCTATAAGATGCAAAGGAGAAACATCAAATGCCTTTCCCTTTCACACCTGTTGATAATGGTGCCAATGCTTTTCTTCTGGATCACGGGTTGTACATTTGTTGCAGGTAGCTAACCGTGTGGTACTGAAAACAGCTTGTCATATGGAAAAAAGTGTGACCCATTATCTCCATAAGCAATGTCAATGCCTTCACATTTTGTGAAGAGACATCCTGGGGCCAATTAAGTATCCTAAGTTTTCCAGAATAGCTGGAGTTCATAATGACCATGGCTCCTTAGGAGAGGTGCTCTGGAGCAGTGATACCAAACATTATCACATAGAAAGTGTCAAGAGAACTTCAAGACCATCATGTTCCCGGGGTGCAGCGGTTTCCTTGCTCATGAGTCATTCAGCACATGTAGGAGTGCCTATTTTCTACCAGGCAAACCAGGAAGAAAAGAGATCTGGAGGTCTCCATTACATATCCAGTATCATTTGCACACATTCTTTGGGAACTTGAGCAGCTGCCAGATGAAAAAAAAATCTGAAAAATAATAAACTTGGAATTAGATATTTTGGATCCCATGGATAAAAAAGATCTACTGTGTTGTCATGCTTCCATGCTGTAGACTAAACATTTGTGTCTTCTAAAATTCTTATGTCAAAATCTTAAACCATAATGTGATAGTTTTTGGAGGGAGAGTTTTTAGGAGGTCATTAGTCATAGGGATGAAGCTCTCATGAATGGGATTAGCACTCTTACAAAAGGAATCTTAGAGAACTCTCTCATTCTTTCTGCCAAGTGAGGACACAGTGAGAAGATAGCCATCTGGGAAAAAGGGAGGAAACCCTCCCCAGACACCAAATCTGCCA